CCTCTCCCTATAACTTAAACCCTAGAACTTAAATATCCTTTATATTTAAGGATATAAACTTCAATCCTTGTAAATCTTTTCTGCATCCTCTCAAGTTTAACAACATTCTTCTAAGGCTTGAATGCTTAGATCTGAGGTTTCTGCATTTGGGAGGGCAATATTGCCTGTCTACTCTGGGTGGAGACAGTAGAATTTGGAGCAGGAACAGTTTTCATTGGGTTTTTGTCCTTTTCTGCGAGTGATCCAAAATTCAGCCTGCTGGGTTAATGACTTTTTACGTTTGAGCTCACTTTTTCATTCAGCAGTCACTGACAGGCAGGACTGCTGGCATAAATTTTGCAAGAAGAAATTCCACAAGTTCCAGCTTTTTTTATATGCATGATGTGTGAGCTTGACACGATAAAGGGTAAGTGGTGCTCATAATTTGGTTTCCCAATGGCAACTGTACACTGCATGCTTTTTGCAAAGAATTTTATTACCTTTTATCTACAGTGCATCACTATAAAGTTCTGCTTACAACAGCAGGTTGTGGCTCTCAGCAGACCTTCCCCTTCCCAAAGTTGCATTCCCCTCATCTGAGCATTGAGTGTCTTGGAATGAGGGGCCTCTCCAACCTCTGGCAGACCACAAAAAAATCTGCATAGACGTATCTGACCTTGCATGTTACAGTCCTGCCTGTCACTGGGTTAATACCAGTGGCAACAAGATGAGGCACTTGAATGGTCATTAATTTCCACTTAAGGGTCCAAATTGGTGGAACGGCAGGAAGTTTGACCATGGGCCTTCCCAACCATGACTTAATTCTGGTGAAGGTGGAAACGTGACTGGGTTCGGTTTTGCCACCATCCTGTCCATTTAAATGCCCTTCCAAACATACTGCAGAAGAGCCCACAAATTCCACCCCTCTGGAATGAATCCAAATAGACTTTAATGTGGTGAGTGTTTGTGTGGCTTGAGGGGCATGCACTTGAGGAATACTGAACAGGCAGATCCTATGCTCAGTCAGTGCATAAAACTGATGTAAGGTCAGCACTGCCATTTTCTTCCTCAAAACATTTAATCCCTTCCTTCTATTCCACATATCTGCTGGCCAGCACCTTGCTTCACTTCTCTAACTCCAGTTGCTTCCATGAATTGGTAAGAGACAAAAGCTATCTTGTTCCTTTATAAAATGTCTCTGGCTTGTCAGATAAATTCACCACTTACAGTAATTATTGTGGGAAAGATAAACTGGTTTTCTTAAGGTTTACATTGATTTGACTTGTAGAGAATGGAGAGACCATTTCTGAGCTGGACACACCTAAATATTTCTCTGCCTCTACAAGTTGTTCTGCAACTCAATCTTCAATTATTCTGTTTTACATGATGCCTGCAGTGGGTTTCAAAACTGCAGCCACTCTGTAGATTAAAACATTGGTTTTAAAACAGCTGTTTCTCATTTCAGTTCCCAGTCTTCAAAAACACAAATTCAAAAGACATGGTCTTACACTACACAATAGCCTCAATTGTGGCCATACTAATGACTGCCAGTTGGGATTCTCACTCTGGCTGGCAGGAATCTATACATTTGGACTGGAGGCCCTGGAAAGGAGAGTAGGGGCTTCCAGAGCCTGGAGGTCTGCCTCAGCACAGCTGTGATGGGATGACCTGATTGGTAGGAGATCCATGGAGCCTTACTCCCAAGTGGCACAAGGTGTGTTGCAAGACTTTCTCAAGCTGCGTGTGAGACAACCACCAAACTTGGAAAGTGCTGCCCCTTCAGGCTCCAATGTCAGCAACATGCCATGTGAAAGGAAACAGCGGTTTGGGAAGGTGGAATTTATTTTGATAAAATTGCTGTTGTAATGATGAGTAAGGTTTCAAGGAGGTTCATCAGGAAGCAGGCAACAAATATAGTTTTCTACGAGAGCGGAAATAATTTAAAACAAAACTTGCCAACACAACACCCCCCCCCCCCCTCCCCCCCCCCCCCCCCCCCATACAATTCATCCCCACGCTAT